AACAAACACCCAAACTTACTATTAATCCTAATTGATAACTTGATGGCATAACGAAACTAAATCACTTTAACGACTAATATTGTAACTAAACTCAACTAAATCCTATCAATATATATATATATATATATATATATATCCGTACTATGCAAACCACATAAGATCAAATTCGAGAGAAAAACGAGAAGAAKTTTTGGGTTTTAAAGACGATTTTGACAAACCCCTAGTTGCTGCCATTATTATTGACCGAATCGGTGACTTTCGAGTCACCGGAACAACTCAAATCTTTCTTAAACAATCCCAAAATGTATAACCCAACTACTAAATGTATAGATTCGAGAATGAGACAAAAACTTACCTCAAACCGACAAGAAATCGATGGAACATTGCTTGCTTTTGGTCGTCGAATTCCCTTCTAGGTTATCAATGGACTCTTCCAAGCTCTTAGGGTTTCTCTCTGGCGGCTATCACAATTAGAGGTATTAGGGTTAGGGAGGAGGAATTAGGGTTAGGTTAAATAAGGATTAGGGTTATGTTTATATAAGAAAAAAAAACCCTAATCTATGTAAACCCTAATCTAAATACAAAAGCTCATGCCCAAGCCCATCATCCAAATTGCAAAGTTAAAGTGATTTATGCAGAACTAACCCTTCAAGATTGGTCAACTTCCTAAACTAATCCGAACTTCAATATAAATAAATAAATAAATATATATATATATTAAACATGCACTGATATATATATATATATATACACACACACATACATATCTGACGGGTATTATATTTACAAACTCCATGTATCAAGAAATATGTGTTGCTATATGAGTTAGATTGGTTCGATATATGCAATTCACTATTTATCAAACCCATATATATATATATTGGAATGTGTTCGATTGAAGTTAAATAATTGTATTGATAAGTGCAAATTTTATACATTTTTACATCAAATTACCTTGAGATTAATGTCATTTAGATATTTAAAATATCCATTTTAATTTAAAATGATGTTTAATCTTATGTGACCATTTAAGTTGGAAAAAAAAGGAGAAAATTGATTGTTGCGTTTTGGTTTTTATCATTAGCATCAAGCAGCCCAAAATCAGGCCCAAACACAAGCAGCCCAAGTCGTGTAAAAGAAAAGAAAAGAAGAAGAAACAGCAGCAGGCTGCTGCCCAAGACCAGCAGCGAGAGGAAATCGAGAGAGAGACGTGGGTTCGAGGGAGCTGGTTCGTGGGGTTCGAAGCGGGAGCGAACGTGGGCAGAAAATCGGAGAAGAGGCAGCGAGGAGGCGATAAAGTAGTCGGCCGATTGACAACAAAGGGGCTGTCAATCGAGAGGAAGCAGTCGACCGAGAGAGGCTGGGAGCAGCAGCTTGAATCGAGAGCAGAAAGGGATTGAGGCAAGAGAGACAGCAGGTTCGATTGGATTGAAAACAGAAAAAGAAGAGGGTCGAGTAGGACAGCAAGAGGGCTGTTCGATTGGGGCTGTCGAGGAAGAATTCGGGCAGAAAAGGGGTTGTCGATTGACAGCAAGAAGAGGCGAGAGGAGAGCAGTCGGTCGATTGAGGGACAGCAGCCGAGAAGGAGAAGAAGGCAGCAGACGATTGGAAGCAGCAGGATCGAAAGGGGCTGTCTATTGAGGGCTGTCAACTGAGACGATTTTTATAGGTTTATTGCAAATTTCTTCGTTCAATTAACAGGTTAGTTTACATTTGTCTTAGTATGTGTAGCTAATTTTCTATTTCTAGTAATGGGTATGTGATTACTTTGAATTTGGATTTGTTGAGACTTACGTCAATCTCATTATCTCATTTGAAGCTATTTATGCGATTTTAGAGTTGAATGTTTATCGTTTTGAGTTGGATATATTGAGTAGGATCCCTTATTATGTCTAATTCAATTTCGAGTTGCTAGATAAACCTTTAAGTCCGTAATTGCTTTTCGGTTTATTGAAGTAGCACACGACACACAGTTGACACTTATGTTAAATGATGATGTTGTAAGATCGTGTAAACTAATCTAAACAATCAGCGTCCGATTGTCGGTTAGTGTTGGGTTTGTTT